ATATATATATAGAGAGAGAGAGAGAGAGAGAGAGAGAGAGAGAGAGAGAGAGAGAGAAAGTGGTTGAGGATGACATCCTGATGTTGACCTCTGGTCTTCATATGCACCCACTTGGGCAAGTGACCTGGAAGATCCTCTGACCCTATGAAGACAAGCCACAGTCCCACCTTCCCACACGCAAAGAAGTCAAGCCCATTAAGGGGAGGGGCTATGGATATATAAGCTGGGAAAACCACAAGGCCCATCTCTCGCCAGGATTTTTTTGGGTGTGGACTTTCCAGCACAGCCGTGAATGGGGCAGCTGCCACTTCTGGAACTGTGTTTGTAAGTTACCCCCTTTCCTGGACATCACATAAACTATGCAAAACCCAAATAGAATGGATTATGTTGGTTTTGTAAATTCACATCAGGACTATGAGACCCTGAGTGAGGGTGGGTCTCCTAGCAGCGAAAGGGAAAATTTAGTGAAACGGCAATGGTACCATCCACGAGTACATCACACACACACACACACACACACACACACACACACACTCACAAACCCAAACTGGGACACATGCAAGGAATTAGCATATGTAAGATGCTTACACAGTGCTCTGTACATTGTACAGTATTAGCTTTAATGATGATGGTGGTGATTATCATTCTTGTATTTAGCATCACCACCATCATCTCTATCTTTCCGACTCAATAATTGCACTGAAGTTCCATGGCAACACCTTACCCACCATTTCCTGTACAGGATCCTGTTCATCAACCAGAGATGGGTTGAGTGGATCTCTGACAACTAACCAGTCGGAGCCAGACTGCCTGCACTTGATGTCTCTCTGCAGCACAGGCTCTCTGCTCTCTCACTAATTGAGCCTTGGCTTCCTCTTGAAGGAAGGCTCTTATCTCTGAGGAGGAACATTTGTAGATATGCCAGTCCAGTAGTAACAGTCATATTGTATATGATCCAGGCAAGTATCAAGAAACAGAGACAAGTTGGGTGTGGTGGCACACGCCTTTAATCCCAGCACTCAGGCAGAGAGGCAAGAGAACTTCTGAGTTTGAAGCCCGCCTGGTCTACATAGAGAGTTCCAGGCCAGCTAGGGCTGCACGGTGAGACCCTGTCTTTTAAAAAAAAGAAAGAAAGAGAAAGAAAGAAAAAAAAGAAGAAGAGAAAATATTAAAAATTTTTTCAGACCTGCATTTTCCTACCCTAACCCTCAAACATTTTATAATCACAGTCTTTTTTTTTTTTTTTTTTTTTTTTTTGTCTTTTTGAGACGGGATCTCCTTGTAGCCCCCAGCTGTGTCCTGGAACTTACTATGTAGACCAGGCTGGCCTCGAACTCACAAAGATCCACCTGCCTCTGCCTCCCAAGTGCTGGGATTAAAGGCATGCACCACCACGTCTGGCCTATCACAGTCTTTTTTTAAGTTTATGAGAAATTTTATTGATTCAAGATTTCATGCAATGAATTTTTATTATATTCAGACCTCCTCCCCCATCTCCACCCTCACCTTTGACCACCCCCTCCACCCCTGACTTCATGTCTTCTATTGGCAAATGGAAAACTCCATTCATCTTACATAATACGTCTGAGCTGGGTGCCAGAGGAATAATATCTCATTAATTGTCAACTTGACACAATCTAGAATCACCTGGGAAGAGAATCTCAAAGAGAGTTTGTCTAGGTTAGGTTGGCCTGTGGGCACATCCATGGGGGTTATCTTGAGTGCATGGTTGGGGTGGGACGATCCTCCCACTGTAGGTGGCATCATTCCCTAGGAGAGGATACTGAATCCTGTAACAGTGGAGACAGCCAGCTCAACATTAGCAAGCATGCTAACTCACTGCACTCTACTTTTGACTGTGGACATAATATGATTAGCTGCTTCAAGTTCCTGCCTCCTTAACTCCCCAAAAAGATAGACGACACCCTGGAACTGCGACCCAAATAAACCCTTTCTCTCTTTTGTCAGTGTATTTTATTACAACACCGGGAAATGGAACTAAGATTCCCATTCAGAAAGATGACCCTAAAACACAGAAAGTAATTGGAAAGGAGGCATTAGGTCAGGGTGTGGCAATTACAACTGCCATGTACGACAAGGTGTAAGGAAAGGGAAATGGGCTCATGCATCTACCTTGAGAAAAAGCTGGCATTTTTCAGGCTCCAGTGTTCCTGCCAGGAGGAAAGTAGACCTGAGAGTTTCAGAGGTCACTGCCAACCTGACAATAGAACTTTCCTGAGTCCTGATTGATGACTCATGCCACCCATTCACTTAGCTTCCTGTGTGGTTTATATGAAGGATTGTTGAAAGAAGGATGCCGCTTGGCTTCTAATCTGGAGTCAATCATGTTCTCTGTAACTCTGAAGCTACTATCCTCATTGTTTCCATGTTAAAGGATTATTACAATCATATCCCCATTCCTGAGCTTGCTGAATGCCAGAGCTGGCTCTCTCCACTGTTACAGAAGTCTCCTCAAGTTAAGGCGGTGGAGACGATGGGGCTACATCAATGCATGTAAGAACTGACCTAAAGAATGCCTGGAGAGGATACACACTGTTCACAGAGAAACGTCAGCCTTAACTGTCTTTCAGCCTGGCAGTAACTTGCTAAAACGTTGCTATGATCTCACCAAAGTCGGAAGTGGAGAGCTTCTGACGGTGAGTATCCAAAGAATGCCTGGAGAGGATACACACTGTTCACAGAGAAACGTCAGCCTGGCAGTAACTTGCTAAAACATTGCTATGATCTCACCAAAGTCGGAAGTGGAGAGCTTCTGACGGTGAGTATCAAAGCAATTGCATAGATTCTTATAGCTATCAGATTTGCCGAAGACAAAGCAGGGCATGTGATCCAGAAGGATAGCTGTGTATATCTAAGGAGTTTTGCAAATTGGGATATTATAAAATTATATTTTTCTGAACATTTTAATGTTGGTAAAGCAAGTGCAAATTTCAAATGTAAAAAAAAAAAAACTGGAAAATCTATGTCTTGACTGATGCTATCCTATTGTAGTTTTCCCAAAAGTCGAGAGTCAGTATTGAGAGAGGGAAGAGAGAGAGGAGAGAGAGAGAGAGAGAGAGAGAGGCAGAAAGAAACAGAGAAACACAGCTCCTCAGAAAGGTGGACAAGTGACTTTAATATGCACTTTACCAAAGAAAAAATATATAAATAGTTGTTTGTTGGTAATCAGAATACAAAT